CCTTTGTAAATGGTTGACTTATGTAAAATGTTGATTATTGCCAACCAGGCTCAGGGTCCAGTGCTCCTTTAGTCCACCAAAAGGTGGATTACCCCGAGGCTGTATCACCCTAAGGATGGGAACAGTCCTTGTTAATTATAAGAATTACAGCATAATGGGTGCCAAATAGGTGCCAGGCACAATATTAGATACTACTTCTTGAAGGCTCCTTTTCTATGCAGTAGAAGCTAACCTCTAGCAAATATCGAGTACTTACTGTATGCCAGCCACTGCTCTCAGCACTTATGTATAATATCATACCTATTCTTTATCATAACCCTGAAAGGTAAGTCCCATTACAATCTCTATTCCTATTTTGCAGATGAGAAAACTGTTACAGAAAGGGTAAAGAACTTGCCCAATGTCATGTAGTCCTGGCAAGAGCCAGGATTCAAACCCAGGTCTCTGGTTGCAGTGCTTTCTACTCCCCCCGCCCTTTCCTAGTAATCATTGTAGCCGCCAGCACATACCACCGGTGCCTTCATTTGCTCATTTATTTACCTGAGCCAACACTTAGTATTTGCTCTAGCATGGTTCCTGGCACAGAAGATGGATGGCGCGTGTTTATAGCTGTAGGCCATAACTGCCCACTCAAGCTGGGCCTTGGCCTAGCCACTGGTGTGTCCCGAATTTGTCCTCCTCAAGGTAACTTGGGGGCTCTTGCTGCTACCTTTTTTTCCTTTTCAGCCTGAGCCTAAATTTCTTTTTCTTCTGTGTCCCAGAAGACTTCTGTGTCAGCTGCCCTGCCATCCCTGTTAGGCTTTTCTCCCTGGAGGCTGGCTTCCTGTCTGTCCTCTAATGAACTGACTGCTCAGAGAAGCAGTAGCTGTTAAATTCATTTGGTGCTTGGCATAGTCAGCCGTAGGCTGCTGGTAATAAAACAAAGGTGATACACCCTTTTCAGTCCAAGCTCTGACATTTACTCACTGAGGGACCTTGAGGTGATCAAACTCTAAGCCTCAGTTGGCTCATCTGTAAAAATTGGTTTAATAGCCCTATTGCAAGGGCTGAATAAGAAAATAGATAATGGGGGGCTGGCCCATTAGTTCAGTTGGTTAGAGCATGGAGTTATAACACCAAGGTTAAGGGTTCAGATCCCCATACCAGCCAGCCACCAAAAATAAAAAAGGATAGGGCCGAACCATGGCTCACTTGGGAGAGTGCGGTGCTGATGACACCAAGGCCATGGGTTCGGATCCCTATATAGGGATGGCCGGTTTGCCCCCTGGGTGAGCGTGGTGCTGACAACACCAAGCCAAGGGTTAAGATCACCTTACCAGTCATCTTTATAAAAAAATAAAAGTTAAAAAATTAAAAAAGATAATTGCTGTGGATTGATGTCCTCACAAAACTTAGTCCCCACTGTGACAGTGTAAAGAGGGTGGGAAATCCTATTATGGTAATGGAAAGGTGGGGCCTTGAAAAGGTGATTAGATTATAGGACCCTGCTGTAGTGAATGGATTAGTAAAGGTGGTCAGGGGCGTGGATCTGAAGCTTTAAAAGGAGAACACTGAGAGGTTAGTCTCTGCCCTGCTACTTCCTGCCATGTGAGACCCCTGCAGCGCTGTGAGATCCCTGCAGTGCTGTAAAGCCACCACCACAGAAGACTCACCAGATGTGTTCCCTGGACTTTGGACTTCCCAGCCTCTAAAACTATAAGCAATAAATATTGTTTCTTTCAAAATTACCCAGTTCTAGGTATTTTGATATAAGCAACAGAAACGGACTAATACAGTAATGGACCTATGTACTTGGTTGACAAGAGACAATAAATGGTAGCAGTTTTTAGTATTGCTAGTGACTGTTCCAACTGTAACCTTCTACGAATTTGCATCCATTTTCTGTGTCCCCTAGGAAATAGAAATCCCTTTCAAGGACCAGAGCTATGTCTTAGGGCTCCTTATATCCCCTGTATATATCTGGTTCACTGTTCTGAATCCAGAGGCTTCTCAGAAGAGTCAACCACTCATTTAGCAACCTGCCATCATACCTTGAAGGCCTGCTCTGGGCTGGCCCCATGCTAGGTGCCCTGAATGTCCAGATGAATAGGTTGCCATGATCTAATTTCTCTTGAGCTCACAGCTGGATGGAGAGACAGCCATAACAGCATGGAAAAGCAGTAAGATGGTAGCTACAGAGACAAGACATCTGAAGGGCCCACTACAGGTACCATTAGTCCCAGCCCATGCCCTGCTACTGGAGAAGAGACAGCTGGGGGAGCCTGAAGTCACTGAGCAGGAAGGGAGAGGGCTCAGGCATCAAGAACAAGGGCTGGAAGCAGATGCTTTGGGCTCATTGTCCTCCAGGTGAAAATGGCTGGGAAATGCCTGTGGGGGAGGCTTGCGCAGGGGTAAGGTATGCACTCACTCAGCTGGGTAAAGGAAATGCTATGGTTTGCCCAGTTCCTGGCCATGCTGGGCTCTGCTCCTGTCTGAGGCTGCAGAGGTCTGTACTTTGGGGTTGTAATTCAGGTTGATGTGTAAATGGTTGGGGGTGGTGGGGAAGAAGGATTGAATGCCTCTAATGAAAAGCATTTCCCATTGCCAGACTGAGGCAGGAAGCCTGGACTGACGGGCGCCCTGGTTAAGGCCCTCCAGTCCTGATCCAGTGTCCGTGCCCCTGCCAGGACCAAGATTTAAGGCTCTGGAATCTTCTCTGGGTGGGCCTCACTGGGGCAGGGAGGAGTCTCAGCAAAGGGAGATTGAGCCTGAGATTCCAGGTATGGGGCCGCTTCTACTTTCCTTTCCCGGAAGGAGTGGCCAGAGCCCCAGCCTGGTCTTGGGGAACCACCGGGCCTAGGCTGAGGTCTGAGGTCACCTCTGGAGTGAGCCTGAGGACACGGGCATCTGGAGACCTGGGGGTTGTCTTAGGGGTATGGAGGAGGAGGGGAGCATGTCTAATGGGAAGCAGGTGGAAGGGCTGCCCACACCCCAGCCAAGGGACATGCCCGCAGGGATGGCCCAGTCAGTGGGAGGACCTGTCAACTCACAGATAATCCCAAGGAACAGGCTCCGGGATGCCCATTCATATTCATTACACGTGAAGTGGGCGGTTGTAAAGTTAGTTTTCTCTTCATTTAGCTGTCACTTGACAGAAAAATATGAGCTGTGGGCAGATGCCCCTGGATGGGAGCCAGTAGCCGGTTTCTGGCCTCCCTGTTCCCTCCTCCAGCAGCACCACCCTACTCCCCCCAGCACACACACTGGAGCCCTCCTGGCCTCTGCCCACCTCTCCCACTCTTGCTGCATTGATTTCTCCTGTCTCTTCCTATCAGTCCTCTGCTTCCTTTGCTTGAGCTTTCATAGGTCCTTTCCTCGTCCCTCCCTCCGTCTTTTCTAAGCTGAGAGAGAAGGACTCATGTTTTTCTTGACTATTGCTCTATCTCCGACACCCAGCACAATGCCTGGCACAGAGTAGGCACGCAATAAACGTTTGTAGAACAAGCTAACCTCTAGGCCCAGCCCGTGGCTTACTCGGGAGAGTGTGGTTTGAATCCTATACAGGGATGGCCGGCTAGCTCACCGGCTGAGCGTGGTGCTGACAACACCAAGTCAAGGGTTAAGATCCCCTATCAGTCATCTTTTAAAAAACAAAAACAAAACTAACCTCTTTTGCATCTGCATCTCCCTGACTTTTGTGGGGCAGAATGTCCAAAACTTTGCTGACTTCTCCTTCGGTGAAGAAACTTCTAGTGCAGTGGTCTGAGCCCTGGAGTAAGAAAAGTGGGTTTGAGCCCCAGTTCCATTATTGACCAGCTGGGTGAGAGTGGTTCTGTTCATCAGCAATAGCTGGGGATGCCTCTCCCTCCTACCCTCTCTTCCCTGCCTGGTGGGTCCCGTTGTCTTGCTGGACACAGGGCTCATACCTGGACCTCAGAGACAGTGCCAGGACAGAGAAAAAATAAATCACCAAATGCTAGGCCCTTGAATCTAGGGAAGACAGACAGATTCCTCCAGGGATACATGGCCTCGTCACAGTGACTATCTTGGCTGGGAAATCTGATCTGATGGGGGACTTGCTCCCTCTTTGGGAATAAGCACAGCACTGATGTGTCTTTGTGCACTTGGATTTCTCTGTGCCTGAAAGATGAGGCCTGGGGTGGGGGTGGGGGGTCCTCGTAGCTGAATTCTTCAGAGCAATGTGGTTGTGTTTACTGGGAGGGTGGGAGGGTCAGACCTGCTTTTTCTGACTTCCAGGCTTCAGAGATAAGGCAGAAAGTGGGATGAAGAATAGAAGGGTAATACTCTGAAACCACAAAAAAGAGTTCTGGCTTTCATCTCTGCCCCACAGCTCAGACGTGCTCCTGGGGCATCTGAGAGAAGGGAGCTGCCCCACCCCCTGCCCACGGGGCGCTCAGAGCCCTCAGTGGGCCTCCCGTCCTTGCATTCCACCTCCCTTCCATTGTCAGTTCGGCCACAAAGTTCTTGGCTTTTTTTTTTTTTTTCCTTTTTGTCTTTTTTCGTGACCGGCAACGGATCGCAACCCTCAGTGTCGCGCCTGTACCGGACCGGGACCGGCAATGGGATCGCAACCCTCGGTGTTGCGCCCGCACCTCGCTCAGCCAGTGAGTGGGAACCGGTCTGTATGTGGGATCCGAACCCTTGGCGGGAGCGCCACCGCGCTCCCAAGCAGCGCACTGTAGCAGTGCGCCACCGGGCCGGCCCAAAGTTCTCAGCTTTTTTCCCCCCTTTCCACCCCCAATTTCCCAAATGAGCACAGTCATAGAGCTGACCTCTTCTCCCTGCCTCCCAGTACCAGCCAAAGCCACAGAGTCCCTGAGTAGGTGACAGGGCCAGGCAAGGCAGGCAGGTCCTTGAGGGCTGTGCTGCAGGCCCACCTTCCTCTAGCCTCTGGATCCTTGCTGGTCCTTCAGGAGGGCCTGGCCTGGCCTGGATTTTGGAATCAGGCCAGCCTTAAAGCAACCAAGTGCCAAGCCCTGGGGATCTACAGTCACCTGGTATAAAAAAACACTACCACCTTTATTATTATGCTGGGCAGCATATTTTTTTTTTACAAAAGTATCTTTACAAAAATGGGGGTCAGGACAGGACCTCAGGGGCTCAGAGTCTGAAAATCTGTTTTATTCTGACCAACATCAAATACAGTTTCCATGGCATAATTCTGGCCTCATGCCATGGAAGAGAATCTAAATATTTGGTGGTTTTTGGTTGCATTTCTGCACTGTTGGAGGGGAGGAAGACTCCATAGCATGTTGGGAGAAGGTACACAGGGCAGGAGTAAGGGATGGCTGGAGCAGGGGAATGGTACCTTTCATGCTGACCTCCACCTTCCAGGCCCTGGTCAACGCCAGACACTGGGTGCACACCACTTATGGTAGGGAGTGGGAGAGAGGCCTGCCCCAGGTGGTCATACAAGAGATTCTTTTTGGTTTCCCCTGTCACAAAGAGCTCCTCCCAGTTCAATCTGGCTTCTCCTCCTCCCATTTTGCTGGGTTCCCTGAATGAGAAGCCAATTAAGCCATTTCAGCTGGGGAGATGACAGACGGACAAAGTCTTGAGGAAGCAGTGTCTCCCTCCCCCCAGCCCAGGGTTTGGGTGAGAGCACCCAGTTCGTGGGAGGACAAATCCTACCTGTTTTGAAGCTCCCTTTCTCCTAGGCAGCCCCACCTTATCCTAAGAGAAAAGACCCTGTAACATGTTCCCTGCTGGGGGCTGAAGGTCCCACTGATCTCCTAGGCCTCTGGAACCCTCTGGGGCTGGGAGGCAGAGGTGTGTCCTCTGTGGCACCCAGGCAGGGTGAGCAGGGAGTGGCTGGGAATGGAAAAGGGGGTGGGCAGCTCAGTCTGTGTGTCCACGCATCCCCTCACGTGGTCCAGTTCAGCAGGCTGGGCGGCTCCTTGGGCTTCACCCTGAGTGAGACGAGGTTTGGAGACTTATAGTCGCTGTCCGAGGACTCAAAGCTGTGGCCCCCCAGGGAGGGGGAGAAGTCATGGATGGAGTAGATGCCAGGGTGGGCCGTGGAGGAAGCTGGCACCCCCATGAAGCCAGCCATATTCCCATGGGTGTGGGAGTATGGAGACATGCACGGGGAGGGGATGCCCTCTGGAGACACAAGGCAGGGCCCTCCAGGGCCCCCTGACCCTGGACTGGGCCACAGGGAGTTCTGCAGCTGAAAAGAAAGGGAAAAGAAGGCCCATGAGCCAGCAGCCCTGGGAGCTGCCTCCCTTACCTAAGGGCTCTCTGTCCTCAGGGCCTCAGAAGCTTTCTAAGAAATGTGCCCTCACCCCAGGTCTACCTCCTACTACCTCCAAGACTGCCAGTGGCATCTCAGGAGGCTCTTAACACTCCCTCTCAAAATGAAATTTTCTTCTGTAATTCCTTTGTGCCCTACATGCATCATTCATGAGACAGACAAGAGCCCACATTTGCAGATGAAGTTAAGTGATCTGCCCAAGGTCACAGAACCTTGATGCTGCTCCAGTTCTCCCTGGGCCAGAGCTCATATTCTTGCTGGCGACCCCATGGGACATGGCCAGGCCCTGACTCACCTGGCCTGGGTTGGGGTCTAACCTGAGGGTGGCTGTCAGTGCGGGGCAGCACAGAGATGTCATAGGCAGCTGTGAAGGGGTTCCGGCCCTCCTGGATCTTTCCATAACGCTCGCGCTTCCGCCACTTGGCTCTGCGGTTCTGGAACCAGACCTGGGGGCAGGTTGGGAGAGGTTGAAGGGGTGATAGAGCAGCCCTGAGGAGTGGAGCCTGCTGGGGACAGAGTCTATGGGTTTGTCCCCCTGTGGGGTGGGGAGCTGGCTCCAGGCTGAAGGATCTCGAGCTGAAAGCGACCTGTAAATTCACAGTGTTCTCAGAGGCAGGGGAGCCTGGGAAGGGGCCTGGGAGAGGCCCTAGCCCAGAGTGGGTTTACTGCCCTTGGGTTCCCAGCTACCACTCCCCAGGCTGAGTCACTCTGTGGTTCTCCAGCCTTGCTGTGTCTGGTAAGGATGCGGCAGGGACTCATGAGCCTCAGAGGCCATGGGCACTTCCTGGGTGTACTAGCGCACACGTGTTGGGTTTCTAGGCTCCTTGCCTCATCTCCTTTCCCGTCTACCCACCTCACAGCATCTGAGGAATCTTAAAGATATTTCTGTTCAGGTTATGGTCCTTCTTAAACTCTCAGTGGCTCCCCAGAGACCTTGGGTGGCCCAGAGCCCAGCTCCTTAACAAGGCCCCTCAGGACTGGCTGCTGCCCCTCTCCACAGCCTCATGTCCTGCCAAGCAACAACACTCAGTTCTTCCTAGTTGCCTCCCAAGCTCCCATGCCAGCTCTCCTTTGAAATACTCTATCTTGCTCCTTCCTGCCTTTACTTAGGTTTTCCCTGACTGTGCTACCCAACCCCCGACACACACATCTAAACTGGGCACCCTCCACTGGGCTTCCATATACCCTGGACCTCTCTTCTTGTATTTACCACATTTTAGTACCATTACCTGTTTTGGAATCTGTCTCTCCCATTTACTTGTGAGCTCTTGGCAGGTGAGGATGGCATATCTGTGTGTGGTATACATCTGTGTACATATCTGATGCGTTTGTTGTTTGGTATGTACCCTATGACTGTTACATGTACTGGCGTATGTGTTTTGTATTTCTATCATTTAATAAACATTTGTGTGTCAGGCTCTGTGCTAGACGTTGGCAATATATATATATAAAAACCCTCAAACAAGAAAAAAACCAAAGAAACAAGACAATCCTTGATTTCTAGGGATCTAGCTGGGAGCCACAATAGAAGGTAGGGGTGTGTGTGTGTGTGTGCGTGTGCGTGTGAAGTAAGGCAACTATCCTCACTGGGATGAGAAGTCCCACCCCAGCCCCTCACACTCCCTTCCCCACAGTCATTTCTACTCATGCAGGCAGGTAAGGCCCTGACAGAAACTGCATACACCAGTTTCCAAGCTCCCAGGCTGCAGAGATCCCATAACAGTCCTGGTCAAGGGCAAGGAGAGGCCACTGCCACCTGCCAGCTGCCTGGATTTCTTTTCTTTATCCTTCCCCTTCAGGTGGATGAAGGACCCTAAAGCCAGCAAATCTGCTAACTTCACTAGGAATTACTTCCCTGTGACAAACCATTTTCCTCTAGAGTCCCCACCGTGTATCTGCACCTGGGCTCTGGACCTGCCCTCTGCATTGTCTGGTGTGTGGTATTATTATTCCTCTCCACAGGGCGGGGTTTATTAGTGGGTGCCATGCTTCCGTAACAGAAGATCTCCCTACTCTAGGGCTCCAATCGTCAAGGAAGCTTCTGGACTAGGTCTGAGGGCCTTGTGGCTACCCCTCTAACCCTTCCAGGACTGAAAACATCCAGAAGAGGAGTGGGGATCTGTGTTCTTCCATGGGGAAGAGCTATTCAGACCCACCCCAGAGGCCTGCTGGGGTGTTCTGGAGATTTAACGTTCCAGACTCCATGATTTGTGTAATCGAGGTTCATCTTGAATGCTGGGCCTCTTGCCCTGATGACCCTAGGCTCTGCGGAGCCTTGGGGGACAATCCTGGAAGTCTGTTTTGGATGCCACCTGGGAAGAGTAGGGAAGCAGGAGGACCCAGCAGAGAAGGGGCAACAGCCCAAGCCCCTCTGGTGCTAAGTTGGATCCAGCTGCAGGATCTTCTCTGTAGATGGCAGCTGGCCTCTATATAGACTGGCCTACCAGTCCCAATATTCTGCCAGAGCTGGCCTCTACCCTAGTGCCTCCAAAAAGAGTCTATGGAAGGGCCCTTTGCAGGATGTGATAAACTTGAACTTTGCCTCTATGAAGCTTTGCCCCTCTCCAGTGGGTGAAGCAAACTTCTCTGTCTGAGAGGTCACCTTCCTTACATTCCCCTAGAGCTCCAAACCCACCCCTCCCAGCACTTCCTACTTGGCATCAGGGAGCCTGCTGTGATTAAGCCAGTTCACAGCAAGACAATGAACTGCCATCTTCCTCTTGAGCCCGACTCTTACTTGCCCTCCTTCCCCTTCCCCAACCCTACTTGCCACCTTCATGCTGTTTGTCATTTCCGACATGCTTGGACATGGACTTCCCTTTGCCCTTTCCCAGCATCTACCATCCTCCCCGCAAGGTTCCCCTCTATATGAAGCTGGCCAGAGCCCCATCCAGGAAGGTCTGGGATCTGATCTCTGTGGGGGACAGTTTGTTTGGGTGGAGAAGGGCTCCTGGCCAGGCTCTCCCAGCCAGGGTCTGAAGGTCACTGGTTCATGATGACTTTGAGGGTCACTGACCCTGAGACCCCCCCAGCAGGGACTATCCCACTCTGGGCAGTGACCTTGGCAGCAGCCCTGATATGTTTAGTACTTCACTGCTTCCAAAATGCTGCCATAACTGTGACCCTCAAGATACTCCCTAAGTACCCAGTACTATCATTCCCTTTTCCCAAATTGGGAAACGGAGACTGAGAGATTCAATGACATGCCCCAAATCACCTGGCTAGCTAGTAAGAGGCAGAGTTAGGACTCCCACACTGGTCTTTTTACTCCAGTAGGCCATTACTCCCACACCCATGCATAAGCTCAATATGGGCCACAAAAGCCTGGAGCTCCAGCAGAGCTGGGCATGGAGGGAGAGCCCAGGAGAGGCAGGCTGAGGGAAAGGCAGCTCTGTGAGACGCCAGTGCCCACCTCTCCCAGCCCATCCATCGTCTGGCCCACCTCTGGGAGGTCAAGGTAGCAAAGAGCCCCGTGCCCACGGTGCCCTCACCTGTACCCGGGCCTCAGTCAGGTCTGTGCGCAGAGCCAGCTGCTCCCGGGCATACACATCAGGGTAATGGGTTTTCTGGAAGACCTTCTCCAGCTCCTCCAGCTGGAATGTGCTGAAGGTCGTGCGGTTACGGCGCTTCTTGTTCTTGTTCTTGGTCAACTCCATGGAGTCAGGGAGTCCCGGGGAAAGAGGGACCCGCAAGCTGGCCAGGCAGGGGCTTGGTGAGCCTCGCAAGTTAGAGGGCCCGTCTCTGGGGCCCCCTCGGCAGTCCAAGGGCAGCTGGGGGAAGCTGGCAGCTTTGGAGGCCTTCTCCTCAGCTGCAATGGAAAGCACAAAAGGAGGATGGAAACCGAACCAGGGGTTTTGTGGGTGGAATGGAGGGAGGGGAAGAACATTGACGCTCAGTCTCCGCCTCCCCTTCCCTTCCTCCAGGCAGCCACCCTCCATGGTAGCTTGGCATTAGGAGGCCTGCCTGCTGAGCCTCCAGCTGGGGAGGGGACCCTGGGGAACCATGTGCTCTGTGGTCTGGGCAGAATTGCTGGGGCCGGAGGGGGGTTCATTTCGGGGAAGTGCTCTGTGGTGGTGCATTCCACAGAGTGTGGAGGTGCCAGGATTGGCACCACAGCAGGACCCACCACCCTGGCAAGGCCAAGAACAGGGGCGGGGGGACAGGGTGAGAATGGGGTGGTTGACACCTCCCACCCCTGCAGGGAAATGTGTCCTTGTTCCTGACTCTGCAGGCCTTGGTTCCCATGCATTTGTGCCCAAGACTCTGCTCCCAGGACCAGGAAGGCAATGAATGAGGATCTCAGACCACCTTTGGCTGGTCTGGCTATACCTCACTCTTGAACCCCAAGTCTCAGGTCAACAGCAAATTCCCCAGATCTGGGGTATGCTGGACAAGGTGAGACAAAGGACCTTTAGGAGGATAGACTCTCTTTATTCCTCCTAAAGTTATGATGTCTGGGCAAGGACTTAAGCTCCAGCGATAGAAAGGTGGAACCGAGATCGGCTATGCTTGGAGAAGGAGACTTGGGGGACCAGTGTCACAACAGGGCACACCCTCTTTTTGCATCATTCTCATCATCGCCTGCCCTCTCCTTCCCCAAGGGTTTCTGGCCGCTCCCCCATTGCCTGTGATTAACAGGCAGGGAGGACTCTGTTGCAGACTGGGAACAGTTCCCAGCAGCCCCACTCTGACGTGTTAAGCCTCACTCAGGAAGCTTGGAGGAGCCCTGCCACAAGCAACTGACGGGGCATAGTGAAAAATAGGTCACCCTAATCGCCCCCGCCTTCTCCCTCTGGCAAAGGACCCCCAGCGGCGTCCCATGAAGTCCCTCCTCAACCATCCACTGGGATAGCAGATGAGAAGCCACAAAAACAACCCATTAACTCACACAGGCCCTTCTCTGGCCTGGGGCCCATCTCCAGTGGGGGCTTAGCCCCCAGGAGGCCCAGCCAGCTGGCACCTAGGGGCAGTTTCTTCCCCAGGACATGGTGTCGGGATCACAGCTGTCATCAGGGGAGGACAACACTGGAGAGACAGGCTTCTCGGGATCTGGGTCTGATGAGTCCCTGTCTACACTGTGGAAAATAAGTTGGGCAAGGTCTCCCTCAGCTAAAAGGGGGTCAGTGACCTCCCAGGCTGTGAAATAGGCTCCCTATGTGTGTCCTGGAGGCCTGGGAGAGTCAGGCAGGGCCTGGCCTCTGGCTCTGCCCAGCCTGTACACAGGTAGCCCACAGTGATAGCCCAGGCACCAGGTCTCCTTCATAACTCAGGTGGAGCATAGGGGAGAAAACGCTTCAGTCCCTTCCATTCTTGGCCAACACATTTTGGTTCTAGGGGTAGTTCCGTTTGGTAGAAGTTTCAAAAGGAGGACTCAGGGAAATTGAACCAAATAACTGAAAATGGTCAGGGAGACCCAGGAGACTGGAAGGGCATTCCACATACAGCAGGCCCTCAAAGTGTGCAGCCTGAGAAGAGTCTTGGTGTCTTGGGTTTGCAAATAGACCATGATGGACTCCAGGCAGAAAAGCAGTGAGAGCGGCTCAGGGCTGGGGTGAGGACTGGAGTTTGGAGAGTGTGGACATCACTGCAGAGGGCTCCCCCAAACCCTGGGCTTGCTCATCTGCTTCTTGGACCTTCAGTGTCTGCCCCAACAGGACCTTCCCAGAGGAAGTGACCAGATCTGGGGCTGTGGGACTTGCCTTCCTGACCTTGAGCCACACAGCTGCCTCAGTCAAGGGATGAAAGTGCAGCCGGACTTAGAACTGTTTTCCAAAAACAGAGGCTAAGCCCACTGACCTCTGCTTGCCTCCCATGTCTGTCTGTCCAGTCTACAGCCCTCTCAAGAGAGCACAGAACTCCTCCGCCCTCATTCTCATTGCCATTGCCCTGAAACCCCCTTGATCTGCCTGGAGAACTCCAGGGAGAGGGCAGCATCCCTCCTCTTCGGGGGGCAGAACTTGGAGTAGTGTCCTGAGGAGCAAGGTTCAAAAGAGAAAAGCGACAGACATGGGATCAGCGGACGGCAGCAATCGAAGCAAGGCAGACCAGGAATGGAAGTCAGCAGCTTGAGTCTAAGCTTGTAAAAGGGAAGGCTTCTCTGTTAAGGATGGGGCACATTCAAGGCGTGCACAGGCTGTGTATAGGAGCCACTGCACCTGGTCGACATAGGGTGGTTAACTGGGAACCTGGGGCTCAGCACCTGGGTGTCCTCGACCTGCACAACCGCAGGACCACAGCAGCAGCTGTCAGGTGTGAAAGCCAGGAGCCAAGACTGAGACCTTTTTCGTGGCAACGGAACTCTCTATCCCTGCCCCGCTCTCCTGCCTGCCGCTCCCCGACCCCCGTCCCCGGGGGGCCAGAGCCCCCACTAGCGGCTGCCTCCAAGCCACTGTGCAGTTGAGAAGCAGCACCGCTTGGGGCCGCCTACCGGGCGCCCCACTGCCCTCACGGATGGAGTCCACTGAGGCCGAAGGACCAACCGTCAGGCTTTCACCTTTCGCCGCAGCCTTGCTCCGCGCCGCGCTTTTTCCTTTGCCACGCTGGGGTCGCTAAGCGACCCGCAGAGTTCTCCGAGGCCTGGGCTCCCACAGCTCTGGCCGCAGAGCCGGTGTGGACAAAAACGCCGTGCGTAGGACCCCGGCGGGTCCTTGGTGCTCTCCCTAGAGGTACTCAGCCTTGGCCTAGAGGCCTTAGGACTCTCCGCGACGTCCGCGGTCTGCCCGGTCATCCGGCTCAACGCCTCGGCGGCGGGCAAAATTCTAGCTAGAGTCACCGCCCTGGGTTCCGAGGTCAGGGAGCCAAGCTCGGGGACAGACTGGAGGCCCCAGCGGAGCAGGAAGGAACCGCCGGGTACTTTTCCGGCTCTCAGAGCAGCCACGCACAAGGGGCGCGAGGGCGGCTGGCACCGCCAGGACGCGGCCCGTGTCCAGAGCCGGGCTGGGCGCTCCCTGCAAAGGGCAGCCCGAGGCGGTGCGGGCGGCGAGCGGGAGAGGAGCGCGGGGCGCAGGCCCCCGAGCCGCAACTGCCCGGCCTCCGCACAGGCCGCGCCGCAGCTGCGCGCTCACTGGTCTAAATCGGAAACGCTCCCAGCCCGTTATTTTAAAAGCAGAGAAATAAGGCGGGCTTCCCCTTCGCCAGCCACTTCCCGCAAGTAGACTGTGCGGCCCGAGCCCCCCCGGGGCCTCTCTCCCCAGCAGCCGGGCTCCACCCCGCGCCGCGGTCAGCTCTGCCGCGGAGACGCGGGCTGCGCGCCCAGCTCGGGCCGGGTCTCTGCCCGGGCCCCGCTCGCACCGGCCACCCGTCCCTTTCGTTTGTCCGTCCTCCGCTCAACTTGAATCGTTAATTTTCTCGTCCCACCTGTCCTCGTTTTACGTTCTACTCTTTTAGGACGTCCGCCCTTCTTTCGTTGTGTCTGCTCCCTCCCTCTTCGTCCTTCCCCTGCTTCTCCATTTACCCGCTTCGTTCGATCTTCGCTTGATTTTTTTTTCTTTCGTTCGTTCGTCATTTACTCCTTTTCGTTCTGGCCAGCTCGCCGTCTGCCGTTTACCTCTCGTCCTCGCCTCTTTCTTCCGTCGTTTTGTTCAACTTCTCTCTCCCCCGTTTTGGTGGCGGTTCGCATCTTCTGGTTTTCTTTCTGCGCATTTCGTTGTCGGCGACGCCCCGGCCGTCGGATCCCGCGTTCCGCTCCAGCGCTCTCGGCGCCAGGGCGGTCCGGGCGCCCCGGCAGTTCGTGCGGGTGCGGCGCGCCCAGCGGGGACGCGGGCCTGGGGGGTGGGTCCCGCCCGACGCGGCGCGCCGAGCCC